TTTTTGTCAACACTGATATCAGGCGGAAGCCCAACTCTTGAGGGGAAAATGGGCATCGATAAAAAGTTAACACGAAGCAGTGGTCGTTATAACTGAAGCACAAACGACACCAAGGCCAATCGGTGGCTTGCACTTCCGGACCAGAAGGTAATCGTTTAATATTTCGTTGGGATACGCCACCTCTCATACTGATCGGATAACTGAACAAGTTATGAATGCCTCACCTCCTGAAAGATAACAGCGATGCACGACAACAGTGCTGCGAAGAGCGGAAAGCCAAAACGCGCAAACGAGGAGACGCGTGCATTGAGCTACAAGACAGCGATCCAAGTGTGTCAGTAGAGAATCAAGGAAAATAAATGGAGATAAGCGTCGTAGAGATAAACTGGTTGGTTTCATAAAGCATTCGTTCCACCACAAATTGTTAAGGGAAGTAACGCTTTCATTAAAACGAACGGCTAATCTAAATGAATTAGCAGATTTTCGATTGCGTTACAGGGCATTTCGCGAAAAAGTCAATGGCACCATCAGTTGCATGCAGACCACCAGGTAAACTTCCAAGCCGTGCTACACTACTGTAAGTCCGGTTCACGGAATATCAAAGAAAACTCAGCTTGAACAAGAGCCTTTTCGGAGAGTAGCTTTCAAAATCGGAGCAGCTTCTGCGTCATCAACGAAATTCCCCGAAATTAGATAAAGTCCCAGTACTTCACAGCGCTTTCAGCTGATGAGTGGCACGACGTTTGAAAGGCTCAGCCACAAAACCTAGGATAATAAAATAGAGTTCCGCCCAAGTCTTTCATGAAGTCACCTTCCCCTTAAAATTCTTACACTGATTCGAGGAAATTGTTGCATGGTACTGATGCTACAGTGGGTGGTACTTAAGTGGGACTGTTGCAGCATGGACCGTGGTCTAGTGCTCATACTGTCTACATGCAGCGGATAGTGTCCGCGTTGATTTAAAGTCGCTCCATGTATTTATTTTAGATGTGGTAGCAGAAACCGAATAGCTAATATTCCAAGTGACCTTAGCGTCAGCTACTGCCTAACAATCAATGGTGTCACAGTACTTCCAAGATTTCTGTGTAATTTGGGAGCTGAGCAAAGCCCTGGTCATAGTCATTCAGAGCGGACTGGTGGCTGACTCAGGCTTATCTGTGTCAGTGTGGACAATGACATATTGCGTGATTTACCATGCTACTGCTACCTTATTTGACCGGGTGCCCATTCTCCTTCGTCAGGCCTGGAACGATCGGACCAAGATATACACTTCGCTATCTTTTCTCAAGGTGAAGAGATTTTAGCGTTTTCACAACTCCAAAGGTTATAACAGTTCTTTGCATTTCTGCGATAACTCAAGCACTGTCCTGATCAGTACGAAGCAATGCGTAATGCGCACTGCCATAAGGAGTTTCGGTCTGATATAGTACGGCTTAACTTCACCTGAACACATTTTAGTACATTTGTAACAGAAATGGCCTAAATCAGCCAGAACACAGGATCTACGTTCTGAGATGCTATAGTAGGCTTCTGAACTACAGGCGTTCTTAGGCCCAGCCTATTTGCATCGATCTTTGCAACCCATCCTATGACCGCAAACTTGTTTTTCAATAACCTCCGAATATCCAGTTAAAAGCGAGGTGCACATCTTACCCTCTAGCTCAGTGTGCGTTACCAGCGGTATCTTAACGAGCTCTGCAGGCCGATTAGTGGCTTCTGAGGCCAGCTAGCCTGCAGCACAACAAAGTGCTTCACCAGGTAATAAGTGTACAGAGGCGATGATGCGGTCTTATCGATCGCTCAAAAGCCACCGCCGGTGTGCGAGCCATACGCGCGACGATGGCTCCTTTAATTGACGATCTATAGGCATGGTTATGTGCTGGTTTGATAGTTACTTGATGTTCTGCGTGGTTGCTTATTGTGGTTCTGTTTCTGTAAGAAAGGTGCAAAAACAGTAAAATGGACTTAGAAAGTGTTTCCGCATACGTTACATCCAAATCATTTGCATCGCCAACTAGTGCAGTTCCTGATGAGCGTAATCAAACGCGCGCACGCTTAGAGTTGTGAAAGTAAACCCGGGTGAAGTGCGACAGAAGGAGAAAATCAAATGTTTTAACGCCTTTTTACCGCGTTCGAAATTTTACTTTGCTTGGTGCATGCTCAGTTAAAGTTCGAAGAATATTTAAGTTCAGCTGTGCTACATCTGAACTTGGTATTCCATATAATGGAGCGAAGACCCACAATTTCCCAGAAGTCCCCAACGAGTCGTGATCAGGTGAGCAAGGATTTCCCACTGTATCGATTTCTCTTAGCTTTGTTTAAAACGGCATAAAGTGACATATGAATTCGGTAGCACTTCATCGGGCTCACCATCAAAGTTCACTGTGTGTTTTTCCATGTGAACAATGGTGGTTGTTGCCAGGTAAGACTCCACTTGATGTTGTGTATGATTTTCCAGTGGACAAGATGTTTCAAACCGTCAGGGTGAAACGCTTCTAAGAGCACCACTCCGGCTCGTCAGGCGGATAGCGATGGATTCAGTTGTCTTTAACAACAGAATGCTCGCATATGGATCGAGTTTCCGGGATTTGGTAGATAAACTTGTACAAAGGCCGAATAGTTAAAGTACAGTTTATCGCTGGGTTCGTAGTAGGAGTTGAGCTGACTCTAATCATAGTTTCGGGTCTGCCAAAAAATTTTCACATGTTAAGCCCCTGTCTAAACCCTTTTCGTCCCCGGCACCACCTAGTTTAGCGCTTCACTAGTATCCTGTCTCCTCTGCGGCGAACTTCCTCTTTATTCCCGTCAGCGACATCACCCACTGCTTGAACTCTTATCTATTGCGTCATCACCTGTCTACCATTCTACTTTGTCCCGTTTCTCTGTATCCCTACTTCCAGTTCAGTAACGTCTGAATTCCAACGATATCGTCCTTAACAAATCACTCGTAACCCCACCCTTGTGCTATACTTTGGCTACCTGACAGTTGAGGCAGTCTTATATTGCTCGGACTCCATTCGGCCTGTGTGTGGCCTTCTGAGGCGGACCTCAATGGTTGCCGCCAACAGTTTGCTGGCGATCAGATTACAGGATCTGTCTCTACACCCTTACATGTTTCACTACGGCTCTGCTGAGAGCACTTGATTGTATTTTGATTCACGGATACGTTCGAGAAATTGACTCAGAGGTTGCTTTTGTATTTAAGAACCGGTTGGTGCATTTGAGTTTGGGACTCGTTAAGATGTTACGTGCTTTGATAGGTTTACTTTGTTCAATAGCACCGTTATCTCGGCTACATTTTCTTCATTTTAAATTCTCAGTGGGTTACGCATTGCTTTAATTCCTATGCTGCAGTGTTACAGGATGTGGTGGCTCTTTGTCTGGCAAGCGTTCTCCCTATAAAAGCCACAAACGTCTATTTAATAACCTTGTGACATGGCGCTTGTGGCTCGCCACCAACTAAAGTCACCGACTTGCTCATCCGAGAAAGCGCTACAAGTTCGTCAACGTCAAGCATTCCTATAGCACTGGCGACAAGATCAAAAGTGCAGCAAAGTAGTTACAAATCCCATAAACACGACCACACACGCCTACATGCACACATACAAACATCCATATACCAACAAATGTGACAAACCTGTTGTTCCATTTTATATTAACTGATCACATCTTTCACTCTCAACATGAGCATGCTTGTGCATGCGTGCCTCGTTTACTCGAGAACAAACACTTTATTTATTTATTTCTTTTTAACGCTTAAGTGGCTACTTCTCGATATCAATTTACAAGTCCATTCATATGATTTTCCTTCATTCTGTCTGGTTACTTTCAAACACAAGCGAAATATCCATCTCTCCAGAGCCAGGAGAAAAAGTAAACGGACATTGATATTGTGGGGATGAGTATCACGTATCTGGGATACCGTTTTACTATCAGACTAAGTATGACCTAGACCTGAATAAAAACCACTGGAAAAGTGCGTCCAATTGCGTGTGGTAGACAGTGAGCTAGTACATTCGCAGCAAATTCATCGCTGCAAAGTAGCTGTGAGTTTGTTCTTTTTGAGTAGGCAGGTTGGGGTAGCCATCATCTGTTGCTTCGTGTTGACTATGGGCGTATGCCCGACACAGCCACGGGGATAAACGTCGCTAGACCGAAGTATTCAGTTTCATGCACCAGAAGGAATTCTAGATTCAATTCTGATGCAAATGGCATGGATTCACAATAAGACCTATATGTGCCCAAATCACTTGCTCAAATGAAATTAGCTGTACTCTGACATGGCTGAAAGTGGAAGTACCAGCACTCTGTTTATCATCTCCGGCACATCTATAGAACACCGTAGGTTGTGGCAGCGTTTCTGTACGCATCGCGTACAGCTACTGTGATGATGAAATTGAAAAGGCCTCTACGAAATCAGCACTGCTATCCACTCATCCACTCCAGATGCCAGTATTTCACTATAACCGACTTTTAGCCGTTCCACTTCACCAATCATATGCCAACTGAAGTAACATCGACCCATACCCATGTTCAAGCTGGCAAGTTTCGTATGGTAGTGGTGCCATATTACTCTCTACACTGGTAATTAATTTGTCCTTGTTATTGACTCGTCGTGAATTATATGCCTACGTTACGTTCCTTAGTCGAATACATGCGCTTGCCTCCGATCGATTAGGGTGAAGAGCTAGATTGCTGCAAGCGCTGCTATATATTCACAATGCCCATGCTTCCGTTTACTTTACTGAGTACCTCTTTTACATTCACGGAGGCGACAGGTAGTAACTCACCTCATGGTGACCACGTTTTATGTGTACAGACTTCTGATTCCAGAGGTGGGCAATGTTTGCTCCTCTATGCTAGCTTCCTGGATGCATAGTTTTATAGTGGTGGAATGTTCATGTTTCGCTGAGTGCCGCAATCCAAAGAAAATTAAACGTGACTTTAATCAGTATACCGCTCATTACCAGACCATGCGGTTCCGAAAATGAAACACCTACCTAGTTCTGTCAAATGGCTCTGGCAACGATGCGTTCAGGTAGATTCCAATATTTCCTCCAATGATTTTCGAATACTTGTGAAGAAAAAGGAAAAAGTAGGGAGATTTTGAAATCCAAATCACAGTTGTCATGCACAATTAAGACAGGCAGCCGAATCTACTTGACAAATTCCGACCCATTATTTTTGTCTTATAGGTCTATAACGCCAAGTGAGGATTTCCTTGGTGTGTCTACATCGCCGACTGAACCCCACAACAACAGACGTAAACTGCACCCTCATTTGAAATGACTGTCTACACCCTACTTTTATAATGATCCGCTCAGCAACTTCTCCAAACATAGACCAATGCCCATGCTGGTACATTTCGTTCGATTAAACTGATAATATCCCTCTTGTCTTCGGCAATCTGCAGTTTCTTAACATCGACTTTTATTTATCATGGGAATTCGGAATACCATTCTAAAACCTAAGATGGCCATCAATCCAAAAACCCGAGTAGGATATGTATCGCGTCTAATTTTAGCAGTCTGGTTCTAGTGTTAATAGATTATTTGGAACCCGAGGAGATTTTTCCAATGAGTATATGTGGCAACACTGCAATATGATAATACATTTTATTAAAGGTGACTTCCTCTAGCCAAGGGAAACAACTACTCAGTCACCATATCAGCTGTGGCTACTACGCTGCATTAAATCAGAATCCAAGGGGCAACCGCGCTCACTGATTGGCCTATCGAGAAACATACCACGTAGCTCCTGTTCTATGAATCCTTTCGCGCCCAAAGAGGCTATGTTTGATGTGTTTACATCGATACTGAACTCCACTACATGCGACGCAAACTGCGCCCCCATTTGAAATGGCTGTCCACATACCAGCGTTAAAATGGTCTGCTGATCAGCTTGTTCAAACGCCGACCAATGTGCCATACTCTGCTTTTAGCTCGCCTAGGCTAAAAAGATCGATTCAGTTGTTGACAGCTAGCAGTCTCTACACATCGATCTCCACTTATCCTATGAATTCTGAATGCCTTATTGGAGCCTAAAACGGTACTAGAATTTGTACCAATCTAGTTCTTATCTCAATAGATTATTCGCAACACGATGAGCTCTTTCTGATATGCAGATATGCAAGGTGTACCGAAATATGGTGATAGCTATGCAGTTATCTAACAACATCATAATACTGGCACAAAGCATGCATGGCTTTACATCCGGCAAAAACCCGGCATTGTTTCTAATTATGTCGAGGTTTACAAGACACTTTTCATTCTCCTTCTGTCTTATGTGAGCTTACAGTATTACGTCGAGGCAATCATTACTCATAGATCCCCAGTGTTCCGTCCTATGTATCCTTGAAGGTGATTTCGTCTAGCCTAGGGAAACAAGTATCCATAGATGATACGCCACATCAGATCAAAACCGATACAGCAACCGCGCTCATTGACCGGCCTGTGGAACCATGTACCAATCCGCTGATGGTCATCAACTCAAAAATCCATCTGTACCCAGGTCCCGAATCATTCAGCATCTGCTAATTTCAAAAAGCCTATTTTCTCTCTCGAAAAAAGCGTAGTAAAAAATCTAATACTATCTTAGGCAATGAACTTCAAGTGCAACGACTGTGGGAATCGTCAGTTTGAACCTGCGAATCACATGCCTTTTCTACATACAGGATGAAGCATCCGCAGTCCGTTGAACTGTACTATGGGTTGGTAATTATGAAAATTCGCTGAAGACTGCGGTTTCACATTATTTCACTGTGCTGGAGCTGTCAAGGTACGCAAAATTGAGCCTCAGTATATATATTGGCGAGTGGGAGTAGATAGTCAAAGGAGGGGATTGTCTTCATCCAACCCCTTACTCAATGTAATCATGCCACCTAATCCGTAAGCAAGTAATCAGAATTAACAATTAATGACAGATAGAGAACGTGACACCCAGCGCTCTTATAGCGTCTATAACTGATGTGGATGTGTACGTGATCACTTCAATCAATTGTGAGTTAGAGCTTAAATGAATGGTTTGAGCGAAGGCATTCCTGCAACTTCTCAATCACCGCCCAGAAAAGCGACGAAAAAAGTGTGGTTCTCAAATGCAGTCCGTCGTTGATTGTGTAGTAAGCCTTCTTTCATAAATCGTGCTGTTCATTTTACTAAAGAAGTGCACGGTGTCTTGAAGTTACCAGTACCAGTGACGAGGTCCAACGCGACGGAATCGTCTCAGGATGTGCACTCCCCCATTACGAAGACATCCAATAGTGAAAAGGTTCAACTAACTAATGTCACTTCGTCTGAGCTATAGAACTCGACTAAGTGACGTTTTAAGTCAGTGGCCAACTGAGAACGGCTGAATATGACGATAACAAGATCCATTGGACCATGGAGCGAATTTCTATCCTCATGTTGCAAAATGGAAGCATACACCGAAACAATCATTCGGTTCCCAAGACAACTCATGTTTCCGTTTCGCTGCCGAGCAACCGTATTCTTTTACTTCTTGTCCATAGTAGGTCGTGTTTGCAATGAGAAGGAAATTGAATCTCACGCCAGAAACAGTACTGGTTCCTGGTGACCCAAACCTCTACAACTAACATTTCCTGTTTGTGGATTCCGGTGTTTCCAATTCTTATTCGCTACATCAACAAAGCATAGATGTAAGCGCTAGTGGTGCAATGTGGGTCATCTGTCCCCTCCGTGATACACAACGATGAGAGTATAAAAATCGGTTGTTTGGCTGACCATGAACAATCATGATCATTTGGCTTAACTGTGGAGACTAAACGCTATGTGTCAATCCGTTCAGCCCCGAGTAGGCATGTGCCAGCCACTGTTCGTTTGAGCGAGAGCTTCCCATACTCCAGTGCACGCAAGTTGTCGCTAAGAATATTCCAAGTGATCCTGTTTTGGCGCAACGCTCTTGATGCCCACCTCGCATTCATCTGGGAAGCTTAAGCTTAAAATGGTATCACAATAATCAGAGGAAACACAGCGGCCGTCGAGGCCCTGGCGTCAACGTGTGAGTACACCACCCAGAATTCAAGTTACACCTGTTAAAGGTGAATACGAACAACAGCTTTGAAGTACAATGCTGCATAAATGCATGTCGCTGTGGCATAATTTGAAGGTACTCTGGCAAAAACGTGCAAATCATAAAAAAATCTGTTGCACTCACCGCATCTGAAGCGCTTTTCCACAGTGCGTACACCATAGCCGCTGTCCCAGAACAACCGCAACCGGACTCATAGCGAATTCCCCCAGTAAGTGTTGTGTTACACCAATCTAATTCGTTAAATAAATATCCTGTAAAGAAGTAACCAACACATATCCAATTTACTTCCCAACGACGTTGGGCAAATCACATGAGATGGGTAACGTAAAGCAGAAAACGGTTACGCATTGACAAATCCTAGAGTCATGAATTGCGCCAGATTCGTCTGTTTACTTTCGTTTCGATTACCACGCTAGCTGTGTAACGGTATTTTCATCAGACATCGTTTGGTGACGTGTGTTCATAGCACCAAGGTTTCCACTAGTATCATTAATAACAACTAGGCTTCATTAATTCCTAGATGCTTAATCTCGGCACTCTTATCTATTCGCCTAGTAGGCGTTCAATAGCTCAGTAGTGTATGACGCGATAAAAAGCATAATTTTACGAAGCCCACAGTATGGATATGCAAAACAACAATAAAATCGAAATGATCCAACTTGGAATGTGCGTTATCAGTAGTCTATACATTGCACTTTATCACACTGTTGTGTAGCGTTTATCTCTCCCAAATGTCGCGATATTTGATGCGTTCACCAACTGTGTTGGTGGTGCATTCCAGTGGGATCAGATTCTAAAGGAGGTAAGATACTTTCTACAAGAAAAACGGGAGTGTTACGTTATTACTTTCAGACGGTGGCCTATGCATTATTTTAAGAGGCTAGGGTCAACTGTGATGTACATGGATACTTACTATCAGTTAGTATCCGGTAGGTGAGAATATGATCTCCGTAAAGCCGTCGGTATTCTGAGGTGAACACACCGAGTACATGAAGACGCAGTTCTTAACTTAGATTGGAAAGTTTACGCGTTGTCTTTGTGGCTCATATTTGGGGTTGTTCTAATAGGCGAATGTCTCATTGTAACCATGGACTTCAGGTCTGAATTTTATATTCAACAAAAAGATGAATTTAGGAGTTAACCAGCAGTGGTACTAGCCGTGGCTCAAATGTGCCGATCGCTCGTCTCGAAAGCCTCAAGTTCAAGTTCGCCGCATTTGCTGTTTTCGAATGTTGGAGCGGATTGCCATTCGTTAATCCGGTCCAGATCGTTCTGGAGATATATATGGTCGGATGATGAGCGAATTGCTTTCCATAGTTTAGCATCATCTGCAATAGACTTTGCTGGAAGCTTATTGATATAGACTAAAACCCGTAGTGGATCGAGGACGGATCCTTGCGGTACACCACCGGAGACGCGCAGGCTTTCGGAGTGAGTATCGGCTATTGTTACCTTGATTGTTCAGATATGTACGTAACATTCTAACCAGGTGAAAATGGAACCATTGATATCCTAGGCAGCAAGCTTATAGAGGAGAAGGAAGTGATTGGCCCTGTCAGATGTCTTGGGAAAGTCTAAGTAAATCGCACCTATTTGGACTCCTTCATCATCCTCCCTTGTCTGAGTCCCGAGTAAGCAACAGTTTGGTGAGGTAAGATTGTCTACGTTTTAGCTATCGGATGAATTCACAATTTTGGTCGTAGCTTCTGTCGGCAGCGTAAAGCTAATAGCGTAAACAGATATTACACAGGGGCTAGAAAACGAACTATTGCAGTTTGAAATCTCTGCGTGTAATAGGACCCCGGGGATAAGGAGTATGTGGACATTCATAAGCTGCAAGGTTTACAGAACAATAGTTCCTCACTTTCTATCTTGTAGGACTACCTGTCAATCCTGCACATTTGCACTCATCATTCACTTGCGAATATGGCGCGCTGCTCGTTCGTTCCGTCCAGTTTTACCATCAACACTTTATGTGTCTGAATAATTAACGTAGCACGCAACCACTTCTCACTTTATTTCTTGTATTCATCTGGTAATAGTATGCCCAATTGATGCATTCCTGTAAGTGCTTCTATCTTGTACACCAGAAAACTGGGGATTTTTTTATTTAGAGCAGCGCATTCTAACAGTCTCATAACCTATGATTTGACATTTATTTGAGTTTGTGCATTGATTTCATTTCATATGGACATGGCAATTGCATTTAGCTTTGATCTTCCCTAGGGTTCCCATTCGTGACAACCTGGTTGTTACTGTGCCTGGGGTTGTTTCAGATATGTTGTAGTTGCACGTTATACCAGTTTTTTTTATTAAAGTGTGTACATGTTAAGGACCAACTTTTTCACAGTTTATCCAATTCGGATTAAGTCGAGATTGAGTGAGACCTCTTGGAGCAATGCAAGTACGCCATCACGTAGGTGGTTTAGATAGTTCTCTTACCTACACTGAAGAACAAGCATAATGATCCCTATGCTATTACCATGAAGCATTTCGCACTGTCAAATCTGGTTAATATCCCGAAATATTATAGCTATGTAATAGTGCTAATAGTGTGATAGTGCCATACACTCTAATATGCGAAACGTATGTACGCTTGGACTCAGTTCTGATTCAGCGATTACACCGTAACGAGGGATATGAACAGGCCTCAACAGCTAAACATGTGTTGGATATTCAGCAGGTTAAAATATAGTTGGGGTCGCTTGAGAAATCATGATTTTCGATGGGATAAAGAACAACCAGTTGCATAGTTTGTGGGCAACGTTCCACTTTGAGACCAGAAACTTGTCAAGCCGAGTGAACCAGTTGTTGATTGATGTAACACTTATATTGAGCTGGGAAGAAAATCACGGCGACTGGGGTGTAAGTAGAAGTTTAATCGCATTTGAAGTAAAAGCGTCAGTTTAAGTGGTGCATTAGGCAGTCCCAAGTAGTCCGCGTAACGAGGTCATCATAAGTAAGTTGATAAAGGCAAGACCAGAGTAATATTGAACGAATCGGATCACTTAACCAAGAAGGCGGAGGAGCAACTATTGATGAGACCATGTACGACAATTGACAATAAGACTGTGACCTCAGCGTTGAATATGAATGAGACAGTTGGCAATTATTCAAGAAACGTTAGGAATAATCAAGACCCAGGTAAATAGTATCACATATACCTGAAATCAACCATCCCAAAGAGGATGTATGGCTTATAAGAGATACATAAACCCATTCGGCCTACTGTAGATGATACAGGTTCCCTGATGCACGAACTATCATGGTATTTCCCTTGCCTATTACGTCGTTTGACAGGACTAACCAATATGTTTTCTAAATAACTACTGAGTTCGCGCGAAACGTGTCCTGTCTTTAGATCGAGTCGGATGAAATGCTGGTCGGTTTCGAACCTAGCTCGCTCTTCACCAACGTGTCAAAGGGCAACGCGTTGTAGATAGCCAAAACCTGTTTGACCGGAAAGAGTAAACTGGGTGTGAGGACTAAGTTTACTGTAAATCAAATAATTGACCCACTCAAAAACAGACTCGTGCCATGTGCCCACCAATATACCCCGTGGTGGAAAATTTATACATGAAATCTTTTGAGAAGATGACGCTGGACGACTCTAGTAGGTTGCCGGAAATTCGATGGTACTAAGTGTGCGATACATTTGTAATCATATGACTGGGTAAGAAAGGTGAGTATCTAAACCACTTGGACACTCTTGTAGTGTCTATAACCTCTACTATGGACTTGGAATCTTGTACTGACACATCACTATTTATTGACCGCTTAGTTTGCAGGAATCGGTAGCCGTAAAACAACGATATTTTTAAGCCAGTGGACATAGATGTGGTATTCCACTATAGCTCAGGTCACCCAAAGCATGTGTATGCTGAGATCTCCTCATCTCCAGTTCACGGAGCCCAGACATGGTGCTTAAAGGTAAAAGATAGGAAGGACGTCCGGCAGTGAGCAGTGAACCAGATGCTTGGCAATGGGTATTCGATGCGGTTAGTGAAGCGCCATTTTTATAGGATTTAAAATCCGCATCCACGGTGTACTACGGAAGGGACTGAGCCGGTAGGAATTCCTTATAAAATGGGAACTTTGGAGACAATCCGGAGGGTGTTAGGAAAGAAAGGATAAGCGTGATATTCCAGAAGGGTCAAACGCTCCTGCACTTGAAGAACCCAGTTCACGCAGACAAGAACGCTAATTGCATCAATAAAATTAGTTTCACAGGCTGCGCAAAGCTATACACAGGTCAAAGTGCAAGAGAGCTATGCAAGATGATAGCAGAACACTAGAGGCGCGTAGCACGGTCGACGAAGAACAAGCTTGAATACAGAGCTGCACTAAGAGATTCGGCATCAGCGATGCAAGCGATAAATGATTGGCGGCATCCAGTTTCGCATTTGCTTGTCATTTTAGCCTCTACGGCGACAGCCACAGGACTCCTGCGCCTACAAAGGGAGCATGGGTGGCTTGCGCTGCGTCACCCACAGCTGCAACCACACACCCCATATCCAGTGTAAACACGAAGGAATAAGACCGGGAGGCATGTGGATGGAAGCCACTTTTCATCAATGAAGCCGGCCCAAACTCCTACACAGACAAACACAAGCACGCTGTAGTTGGGACTCAATCACACACAAGGCGGTGGCTGGACCGTAGTCCGCTCCACACTGACTGCATGGAACCACTCTTCGAGCCTAACACGGCCACAAGGACCGTGCACCCTGTCCCCTCTAGCAACGACCAACTGTCTCCTGGAGCCAGTATGGACGATGTGGTGGGTAATAAACAGGTAGGCACCTTGTCAACATGTACATCCAGGGCAGTCACACCGGGGATGTCAAACAACAGCGATAAATACAGGTCATGAAATCGACTTGGCTGAGGTCAATATCGACACCCCAAAGGCTGACTCCTGAGGCAGTAGAACTCACCAGGTCAACAGCTGCGGGAAAGAATGGACGGCATGAAGCTTTTGAACACATGGCGCGCTATCGCAACCCGATCGGTCTGAGGAGCACCAGCAGTGGGATTTGGGGCAGACAATGAAAATCAAATCACCCCCAAACCCGTCACTGACAGCTACCTGCGTGCGATGACTTCCTACTGTGCGCCACTTTAAGTGGCACTGATCTCCAACGCGATTAACCTTTGGCCCACCCACTGTCATCGTGACTAACTTCCCAGCTTGCTATAAGTGTTACACCTACCACCAGATGCTTCACTCGGTCTACCGAGTCTTTTGTGTTCAAAGCGGAACGCTGTCAACAAACTATACCAACCGGTCATTTTCAAATCATTCTGAAATCGTTTGCTAATGTTTTCGGAACTGTTATCTCCCTTGAACGGTAATTATAAGTAGACGGGCTTCCTTCCTACTGGGGTGCATTTGCGACCACACAGTCACTTCGCACATTCCTGTCAATGGAAACCTCGGGATAGCCTTTATTAAGGATCACTTTTCTTATTGCGGCGTGCACTGCTTCAATTGTGTCCTCAAAGCATCGTATCATCGCTCTTCCTACAAAGCACTGGATTAGGTTCAGTTTTTATCGAAATGTTACCAAGCTATCAAAATGTATTTAATGGCCCGTGCATGTCGCTTTCCTGTAGATTCTACACTGCAGCGAGCTAACTCATCGACGTGACATTTGATCATCCAGAAAAGACAAACCATCATGTGACTCGTTGCTATTTAAGGGAGACAACAGTTCAGAACACGTTAGCGAGCGGCCGTCAGTAACACCTAAGGGGCCACACAGTTACGCACTATTTTCACTTCCATGCCAATGCTACACCTCCAGCTGAAGGATAAATTGTCTGTGGATGTTACCACCTTTTGTGTGTATCAAGTTACCTGTTCCTGTTGGACAAATTACGAGACGTTTGTCTGAACAGGTCCGTGGGCATCACCTAGCTTGGCCGAGCAAAAGATTGAACAAACCCGTGCACCACCGCAATAGTAGCAGACCTAGTCCAAACGAGTCACCCAGTTGTTATCCACGAGCCTTTCACCCGATCTACCGTGTGAAGAGTGTCCATTCCAAACTTAGATGCCGAATCCTTGCATTGGCGCTGGCGATCGCGATTCGTCTCAACAATCTCCTGTTGAGTGTGCACAAACAGCTCGTCAAGGGGTTGGTTTTAACTTGGCTAGGTGTCATCCAGGCAGCTTCTGCGTGAACAAATCCCATCATTTCTGAAACCATGGGGAGAATTTCAGGCGAATTCAAGTCTGTCTGCTTACCTGTAAGAGTTGTCTCAAGTGAGTTGCATCTCTCAGAGGCCAGGCAGAGTCCAGAAACAAACGAGCCCGTTGAAGACCACAGGACGGGCTGAAAGATAAGATCGAGTTGTTACAGTAAGCTTTTAATGGATCTGGACAAACGTGAAGCAAAAATGTAACTCACGTACGTGCAGTACCGAGTTGGTTCTTCTACATTTGCATCATTTGGGAAACGGGTGAAATTTAGCTACCTACTATTTGAAAGTAGTCATCTTCTGGACAGTGGCATAAAACTCAGAAGCGTTAATTACAGTGCACTGGAGATAAATACATCTGTGTACTAGGAGTAAACACACGCTGGACATTACGCTGGATCTGAACTATTCTTCTTCGAAATGATAAAATACGCGGGGTTGAAGAACGGGAAGTCCCGATTTTTTTCTTTCTGACTGGTTTCGTTGTTGCAGTGGTGCTAGAAGTTCCGCTGTTTATCTTGCTTAGTTTTGTCAAAACGAAGGACCACAAAACAAGGAGATGAAGAAATTCAAAAAACCGTTGTTCGCGGCGAATTCAACACCACTTCGGATGAACAATACAGACGAAAAGGAAATAGTGCCAATCTCGTCAGATATAATGTCACCTCGTCCGCAGTCGTGGCACGGTTTGAGCGGATGCTTATGGGCAAAGCTTTCCGTTGTCTGGGTGGGCCGAGCGGTAACAATGCGCATTGAGGAAAAGGTAGATTTTATTCGGTTAGCACACTAACACAGCATCGACTGGATTCTTGCCCTTCTTAATATTTAGAAATAATAAGCTCATGAGACGAGCCATTTGATAAGATTTTATGCATTTTGGCAGTAAGCGGCGATATCACACTTGCAGAATGCGTAACGAGTTGCAAAACACTAACTGCTTGTTTTGTTTTGAACTACGAAACAACAAGTTCAACGTTAATCAGAAAACTAATTTTAGAAATCATAGGCTAGTGTTGATTTCAAGCACAAGCATACTCTTGGATTAGTTGATTACATACCGGTGATAACTAGAAGCACACTCACATTCTCGATCACTGGTGTGTACTGCATTAAACGAGTGACCAATGAATAATTTCGGATCCATAGGACAAGAACTCTTAGTCGCGTTGCTCAAGAGTATCTTGTTGAATTCCTCCCAAATTTGCGTGCAGGGGATGCTGGAGCAGAGAAAAATGACATGTGTGCATTGATGCTGAAAATCTTGGTAACCGAATTTTAATACACAATTGAAGTACTCTAGTGGAATAATCTGGCAAGCCTATTGAGCATGCATTACCCTGATGAGTTGATCTGTTTGTTTGTTCCCCCTTGGTCCCAGTTCTACGAGTATCTCGGACAGCCACATGGGTCATCATATATTCGGGCGCACAAAGCACTCAAATTCATAACTAGGAAACGATTTCTAGTTCCCATATTGTGCATATCAACTACACACAAAGCGTCAGTTTGGTGTTATTAATGACATACTAAGACTATTTCATGTTTATAGATGATGTCGCAACTACAGTAGTGGAACAAGGAAAAAATTGTTTGTGACGGGAAAAAAGCAATGCCTAACAAGCCCCATAACATGGTTAGAGGTAGCCATGAGGAGGTAGAGAGCAAACATACAAATGAAGCAAAACGGGTCTCACTGTAGTAACAATGCGGGGCGTAGTGGAAGCATGATTGTGAAGATGGGATTGCATCGCACGCAGGGATGTTAAACACTAAAATAGGAATGGTTCTTGTCAAGAATAAGCGAAGTACTTACCAGCCAGCACCAATTTTCGTGCATCAGTACGCATTGTAGTGCAAGGTATACTAGCAGATTCCAGAACTCCGCGTTCGGTTAAGAGGTTGCAGGATGTACAAGTGCTTTACGAAGACGGCCAAGGTGGAATAACGTTCTAGGGCTAGCGGACCAAAAGGGCTGAGTAATTGTTTGGAGATCTGGATGACTCTGCTTTCGAGGCAAGTTCAAGTGGTGGCTTCACAAGTTACCATTTGGGTTGAGTTGCAATAGGTCACGGCATATGTGATTTGGATCGCGCCGTATCTGGTATCACATTATCGAGTCTCCGCGTAGCCGCCAATGGCGTCCACTAAATATCGGGAGTCTTTTCTGGTGTTGTGGTTCGTTGTTCGAAGTTGTTGATTGCTGCGGAATCGCGCTTTGCTCAAGGTTGCGGAAGTTGAATAGCATAGTTGACGTAGGGACCCATATAATCTTTGAGTATCAAGTAGAGGATAGAGGAACCCAAACTGCACAGTGTCATTCGAACATGGCTGTTTATCTTACCTGAAGAAGACTCATTTCCTGAAATAGTCGAGGTCCCCTTTCGGCATTCCTCCACGTTGAATGGCAGCACGTTCCTACCGACCAATCCAAATCCCCATCAAAGTCGCGCTGAAGGACCAAATGCAGTCTGTACTCAGACCAGGCGACTCGTACTGGACTCGCGTATTCAGTGCCTATCCTTGATGGTAATAATTGAAGCAGTCCCGCACCTAGATATTTGGTCGGGACATAAAGTTAATAAACTTCGGAGGTTTTACTGTATATTGAATAATTCACAGAACTGCTTGTGTTTCACTGAATGCGTCCCATCGCCGCCTTCTCAAGTAGGGCCTATTTTCGTTTCGTGCTCATCGTTACATCATCTATGGTATATTTCTGCTCCGTGGTGGAAACTGAAGTCAAACGCATAGAAGCAGGACCATGTTCAGCATCGAGACCCACTGAAATCCCTGTGTATCCCACGGCATTGCGTTCTCTTCTCAACCAGCGAGCTCCAGGTCTTTATTCACTTTGCTCACCATTCATCCTCAATCTGCTTCTTTCCCTTTGTAACCAACTGGCTCCCGCACAATTCACTTGTCATGCATTCGCTCCATGTCCACAGAGAAACCACTTACTCGTTGGCTGAAGTCCCTGAAGAGATCGACCAGCGACCTACCTTGCGCTATTCATCCTCAGCTACCTTCATGATAGTCGCAGTCAAACTGACAGCACTTCGTCACAAACCGTCGCTCTTTCGCATCTATGATGATCATCTCCTTTGACTTCTGCTCCCGCTTTAGTTGCCTTGTTGCCCTATTATCTATCCTCAGGTTATTATTAAATTCTTAACCTTACTCTATCTTGGCATGCCATATGGGAATGGATGATCAGAGCGGCAAGAGGGTTCTGGATAACGCGTTCCAGATCAGTCAAATAAATGGGCCGTCATCACTGATGCACCGAGAAATATGAGCCAACCCGAACAATCTGTTGTAGGTCTGATTCTCCGTAGAAGCCCAACGATTTGAATCCCCTTCATGATGCATTTTCGGACTGCTTCGAGCAGCCCAGATCTTCGTAAACCAGCACACCGAGATCCTCTTCGTGTGAACGGTAATGCAGATCCTGGTCCTCCAGCTTGTAAGTATGAACCATTCGGTGTCGCAAATAGAGCACTCGATATTTGGTTACATTGAAGTAAAGGCGATTATGGACCTACCATCCATGTATCTTGTCAAATTCGTTTTAAAGATGGATACGGCCTCCTGGAACTATGATGGCTCACCAAACTTTGTTGTAATCGATGTAAACGTTTTACTGAGTTTTGGATCACTAGAGGGTTAATGAAGATCAAGAATAGTCGGGGTACCAGTACCGAACCCTGTGGCACGATGATGACATTCTAATTTGAGTTACGCACTTTGACACGCGAAATTACGTAGCCCACGATTCAACCAACAAAGTAGAAAACAGAGACCTCAGCTTTATCTGGTTTCTGAGTCATTAGGAGTCACACGATCATAATTCACCACGCCTATGTAACAGCCGTGGTGTCCCGGCAGTATACACAAACAGGATTCCTATCACATTTCAGGTCGGTCTCATGCTTCGTTTCTGATGTCAACTGGAACGAACACGGTTTGCATGATGTTAATGTACACTCAGGTCGTTGCCATATGTCATCAGTCACTTCGAATCAAAGTTGGTCCTACACATTGTATGAAGAAGTACCTCAATAAATTTTGATAAATTTGTCTATGCTGAGGATACGTTTGAGTTTAGTGGCTCATTCTATTCCTCCTAATCGACGCTAATGATAGTTTCAAGCGTCCCGTATCACTGCATTCAATGTCTATCACTATAAAACCTTGCTCTCACTCCGAATTCCAGTTTCATGTTTGCTGACAGAACCGTCGAATGGTTCTACGGATCTTGGTGCAGCCAGTGTCCCTAGATGTGAAATCGTGCTGCTCTAATTGAGTTTGGATGATTTGCTGGAAGTTCTGACAAGTAGGATGCACGATTAAAAGGATTTTATTTTAATACCGGTCTAATTGCATACGAATGCAGCGCTTTGTGGTGCTTTCGTCAAGTAACTGACTTGTTTGTTTCTAGCTACTATTTCACAAAATGTTCGGAGCACCTGTCTAGTTACCTAAATGCACAATTGTAACGTTCGTCTCCATACACAAATTGCACATTACCCTTGCTATCCGTCCTTAGCGTTTACGACAAAGTGTCGAAATGTAATGAGGATTAAACTGTGAGGAAATATTCCCCTTTCGATAATCTGTGATATTCGCATGTTTGTAGAATACAGGTCAATATGGTAATCAGCTGTGCCCAGTATTGATCCATGAGAAACGATGCATACAATATACACATCGAAATTTATCCCATTTGGGTCAGAACAACTCATCTATTTCACCAAACGTCACCAAGAGTTTGTATTGTAACCCATCCTCCAAATGGTCCAACTGCAGCCTAGCTCAACGCCCCTTAAAGTTTTGGATCTCTCTGGAGCCGTCCGACCGCCGTAAAGTTATTCCGGCGGAACCAGATTACAACGAGCGGCGCCGTTCTGCTAACCGGCTACTCAAGCCTATCCAACGACAGAATCGCGGGTCATGGTGGTCTGACGGTGCTCTAGAGATGGAGACCGCTGCTCTCTCTGGCAACACTTGCAGGCTTTTCCAACTCATTCGATCTACTGACCTCAGGAAGCCTGGTGTCAGTGAGGTCATTTGTGAGGTGGATGAGTCTCCGATCATCAACCAACAGAGGCCTTTGGACCTCTGGGCCGAGCACTTTCTCTCGCAATTCAACTGGCCTTTATCGTCCATCAGCATATGCAGAACACCTAGTTGTCCATCCTGGTTCGTCCCACTGAATCCACCCAGAGGAGCAGAAGTCTGCCTCGAGATTCGTGGCTTTAAGTGGTTCAAGGCTGCCAGTTCAGACGCACTTCTTCCGGAGATGTTAAGAAACGGCGGAATGGCGATCATTAACCAGCTGACCTCGTTGTTCGTAAAAATCAGACATGAAGAGAAAGCGCCATCCTCTTGGTTTGAATCAGTTATTGACCCCGATTTTTAAGATAGGCCCTCACACTTCATGTGTAAATAAGTAGCAAATTAGTTTTATTTCTGTTGTCTCCAAGGTATTTGCATCCATTCTGCTTCCTAGACTAACCCAGTACGTGAATCATACTACTGTGAAGAACAAGCTGGTTTCTGTCCCGGTCGCGGATGCACGGATCAAATCTTCACACTCTGCCAACTCCACGAATATCGCCGCATCTATCACAGGGCCACTACCATAGTAATTGCTAGACGTACGTGCTGCATTTGACTCCTTTGATCAACCTCCTCTATGGCGTTACTTGCTAATGAACAGGGTGCTAGAGGTGTATACCGTCATCTTACGATCACTTTACCTTCATACATTCGGCAGAGTGAGGGTCTATGGCAAACTTTCCTCGCAATTCGCTGTCGATAGCGGTTTGCGACAGGGCTGCCCTATGTCCCCAACCCTCTTCAACTTCGCAATCGAAGACATTCTGTCGAGTGCTCTAGAAGGTTTCCAACATTTTGACCTAGAGCTTCTACCGTGTGAGCGCTTGACCGACTTAAATTATGCTGATGATATCGCCTTACATGGTGAAGATCCTCAGGATATGCAACTCATTCTCGATCGTCTGGGGGTCAAAGCATCTAAGTATGGCATAAGCGCCAGCATTGGCCTACATCTGCTCCGTGCTCATTCTTGAGGGTGCACAACTTGGACA